CAATGACCTCCAAGCTAATAGCGATGGCCTCCAACCTACTAGCGATGCCCTCCAACCTGCTATCGATGGCCTCCAACCTAATAGCGATGGCCTCCAACCTACTAGCGATGGCCTCCAACCTACTAGCGATGGTCTCCAACCTTCTAGCGATGCCTCCAACCTACTAGCGATGGCCTCCAACCTACTCAAATCTGATCATACCTGATCATCATATCCATGGATCTTCGCATCCCATCCGGAAGAAGAAACATCCACAAAATATCACAGAATCATCAGGTCCATGTTTGGTCCATCCCATCATATCCCATCATAACACTCGCACCGGCTGAACCTTCAACACCGAAAACCCACATGGCCCGAAACGAAAGCCCCCGCTGCCGGACTTCATCCCCTCCTGCGCGACACCGGGGGCGTGAGGAGAAAAACGTGTTACGCGGTGGAAAACTAACATGGACTTTGAAAAACCACTGGATTCGAAGAGGAAATCAGTCTTTCCGGGTCACATGTTCAGGGTCCATGTTCGGGAGTGTCATGTTCAACAGACAGCGGGTTTCGAATCGAGGTGCCATCTCCATGCGCTTGGTCGAGGCGTTGTGGAACTGCGAATCCAAGACCTGCATCGCTGCCGCACTCTGGGTGCCGGCGGGCGGCGTCTTGTCCATGCCCACCTTGGAGAGCGGCAGGGATCGCGGCAGGGATCGTGGCAGTCGGGAGAAGCGAAGGCATGGTATTTCGACTTCAACCGTTGAACAGGTCCTTTTCCGAGCAAGGAAAAACGTCGACTTTGTTTCGCAACAAGACATGTCCAGGCCATTCTGGGAGACGCTAAGTGTCTTATGTTGAGGTACTTTAGGACTATGAAGAGATGTGCTCCCTCATACACGACAGCTTTCGTCGGACCGAGTCTACAGGAGGCGTTGCGTTTAAAAAGGGTGGATTTGGGCAAAAGCGGCAAAAGTTCTTTCGAGGCTTCTGCCACCTCTGGTGGCACCAGTAGCAGCACACACCCAGTAGCCTTTTGTCACTAGTAGCAGCCCAGCTGCTGTCTTCCGAAGCACCAAGTAAAGTGCTGGTGGAGTCAGAAAGAAGGTGACCACGCCCCAGGCAATCACCAGAGGCCATCGATTCCGATAGACGCTGCGGGCAATGACAAACATACAGGCATCCATGTAGCTTCCTTCCTTGGAAAGACACAAAGTGGGCAGCATCTTCGAGGTCCACTCAACAGCTCCTTGTCGACTCGTGCCCACAAATGCATCTCATTGCTTCCAAGCAAACCCAACAATAGGTACCAAGAAATTGATGGTCCAAGCGGCTTGTTCCCGGATGTCCTTTCCATCGCTCCGATTGCCAATGTCGTCATCCGACATCTTTGGCACTGTGGATTGACAGACAGATATAGTAGTAGACCTTGCAAGATCTACAACAGCTTGGCAAACAGGGCAACGGGGCCTTTCTTAAAACTTGCTTCTGCCGGGTTTTCGCCACGGTCCCAGCACTCACCCTGAAGTGGCTTTTCGTCTGCTCAACGCACCCTGTTTTGGGGGTCCTTTCAGTCGCAGCAGCCAACGAACCCGAATTTGCAGGGGGTCTAGTCACTCTAGTCTATCATGTCATGCAACTGTAGGAAAGAAGACACTGGCAGCACCTGCAACCCCAAGAAAGACTGCAAGATTAGCTGGCGTAGACTCTATTCCTTTCAACGGAAAGGGGATCTTGTCGGGTGTTGGGAGACACTTGATATCCCAATCCCAATCTTCAAAGCACAACATGATTGGTTCACAGCTTGAAACATGTTGAAACATGTTAAAATATGTCAATCCCTATCCGTTCCGTGCCGTTCGATGCCATGTTGACATCAAACACTTGAGGGGCAGGCCGCCTTGGGGGGGCTTTGTTCCAACGTATGATCCACTGCTTCATGATGCTGTTCGAACCTCCCAAGCTTGAGCCACCGTGAGACATAGTCCGGGCATGAGGACATGCACCCTACGGCACAAGAAGACCAAGGTTTCGCACATCAATGGAGGGGGCATGTTTCTACAGCCTGCCATCACAGACCACCGAAGATTGCAAAGACCAACAAATATCATGTGTTCTTCTCTGTTGGCGGTGAAGGATGTCTATCGTATCCTTTTCTCTTGGAGGTCCGCTTGACACCAACTAGGGATTGCTCCAACTAGGGATTCTAGACGTACTAATTGCCTCTGTCGGATACCTATCAAATCCCTTTTCCAGATTTTATGACTCGCTGGTTTCAACGACCTTTTGCAGGGACGACGAAGCACAGCTAGATGAAGCCTTGAAATCCTAAGAGCTACAGCAGTATTTCTGCGGCATAATAGAAGTTCTATGAAGTTCTAGCATCAAAGTGACTGAAAAATATAGAAGAGCACTGAAGTGACCTCCCCTGAGCACTGAAGCACCGAAAGAACAAAAAACACGCACGTTCCACCCACATGGGGCTGGTGAAGCAACCTTGTGAAACTTGATGTCGTGGCTTTTATCGTTCCTACTTTACTCTCCTTATACTGTATACATATATACGACTCTATAATGTATCTATATATATACATATGTGTGTGTGTTTTTGCTTTGCAAGGATAAGTCAAGATCACCCGCGCGACGCAGGACTAGAAACTTCCCTCCGGTCCACAAACAGCCGAAACAAACGAAAGAACCAACGGCGGCGGCCTTCGAAGTAGTGGACATCGGTGGCCTTCAGCTTGTGAGGATCGCTGTCATCCAAGTGGAACTCCACCTGGCGTCATGCTCGGAGCTTCGAGGACCGAGGATGCTGTTCTGGGCCAAACGGGCGAAAGGAGAAGTTCGGAAGAAACTCAAAGCAATCATGGATGAAGGACTTTCCGGCCGCCACGGGGCAAGTTGTACAAAATGTTAATAGACAAAATACAGACCAAATGCAGTCATGGTCAAAGAAGGCACAAAAGACTTGAGAGAAAATGCCTCATGAGTTGATGCTAGAAAAACTCTGGACTGTATGGATCCGAAATCACAGTAGATCAGTAGATGATGGTTCCCACGTCACCTCAAGGGCCATAAAGATGGGTTGCCTTCAATGACATGAAACTCCACCAATTGGACCTCTTTAGCAGCTGGTCTGGCTTCTTCCAGCCCACCCTAAACCCGCCACCCTTTTCGCATGTCCCACACACCCAAAAGAAGCAACTGCAACCAAACCAAAACACCAAAAAGATCCACAGCCACACCCCCACGCTCCGTCTCACGTCCCGAAACCGCCCGACCTCCGCCCTCCACACGGTCCCGAAACCGCCTCCACTCGCTCGTGGCCCGAGAGTCCGATGTTCCGCGTGGGCGGGCTGCGAAAGCCCCTGGGTCGGGGGTCGAGGTGTCCGGGTAGACCTGAGGTGAGATCCATGGTGCCGGTGTTGTTCTAGAAACATCAACCCCTGCCATGAGCAGTGTATGTTGGAATTCTGTTGGAAATATAGTTGAAACTTAAACCCCCTACTTGTAGGTGTATTAGAGTAGTTCAGTCATGTCTGTCGGCTTCAGGATGCTTTCATTCACATTCATCCCGTTGCCGTTGCCCTGATACAAAGTCGATCCAGGTGCCACTCTGCGCAAGCATGAGCTTGCATCGAACATGGGCGCAAGTGTGGTCTTTTCCTGCTGCAAAGGACCCCTCTGGTCCACTCTCTTCAACCGTGCCTGTGTACAGAACTGCCGCAGGACCAGCCGCGCCACTTCGTGGCAGACTGAGTGCTTCCCAGTGTTCAAGGACAAACACGTTAGGCATCGGTATGTTATATCTGCTGAAAACTGTGTATAATCCTTTTAAAGGAACAATGTTGATGTTCGAATCTCCGGAATAGTCCAACAGGGTCAGTCAAATGTGAAACTTGCCTTGACACCACAGGAATCTGCTGGGGTGGTCACCTCATCCAAGGGGGGCCTTGGTTTTCGTCCGTGTCCCCTTCTCAGGTCTTAGACTTCCGTCAGACGTGAACACCCAGCAGAGCGCCGGTGAGACCCGAAAGCGGCCGTTTTCAGCAGCCTGTCTCCTCAGCTACCAGGTTCAATAGGAGCTGAAGATCGATTGCCTCCCACTGTGATGTGCGAGTAATCCTGGCGAAGAGACGCTCGGCGAAAAAACACGAGTGAAGTGAAGAAGACATGTCTTCATGAATCCTTGCGGAGAGGTCAGAGGACCTGGCAGTTCTTTGGGGGGGCGAATCGATGGCAGTTCTTGTTAGCAAGAAAGCTAGTAGTCGTAACAAGGGCATCGCTACGAACGGAGGAGTTCTTGCTTTGTGGTTTGGTGGTGCCGCAGGTGCCAGTGCTCGGGCGAAGGCTCAGGTCGGCCGAAAGTGGTCGTGAAAACTGGTTGGTTGGTTGGTTGGTGCGGTTCTTGGTCGTGGTACGTGACTCCAAAGGTAAAAAGGCATAAAGATGCATAAAGAAAAAATCACGAAACAAAGACATGTCTGTTTGTTTTTCATCTGGTTGTTAGCATCACAAAAACTGTCTGTTTTAGTCGGACTGAAGCCATTATGGGCTCCCTCTCCGGCCCTCTCCTCTTCTACCAGATTCCACCATCCACTGCGGGCCCCTCCCCTTAGAATGACCATGGCGAGACGATCTGGTCACACAGGCCAGCAGGACCATGGCATCTCGATGATACAAATTTCCACGACCAAAGCCGTTCTTGGGATCATCAATTGGAGGAAGCCATCCGTAGGCCTCCACCCGTTCCGAAGCAGCGGCATCCGCGGCATCCGTCGGCCGTCCGGATCTATCTTCGGTTCCGGAACGGGGAGACCCGGTGGGTCACATGAAGCATTTTGGAGTGGCCGAATGGCCAGGTCTGATCGACCACAAGCGCCCGCGGGAGCCGCTGTCACTGCCCTGGGTCCCCAAGAAAAGAAGCATCCGCCCTCGGTGGATCTCCAACATGACCTGCCCCATGAGAGGATTCTATCACCTGTGTTGAGAGGAACCCATGAGACCCTCCGATGACGGCGACACAGAGGATGCGTCCTACTACCACCTCGGATTCGTGGCACCGGAAATCGATCTGTGGACCCGCAAGGTACATGGAAACACCCAAACATGGTGGTCTCATAAAGGAGTTCAAGGGCCTTAGAGTCTCGGCCCCCCCCCAGACCTGGGTCTGCACCACCCGGCCTGAGAGCTACGCACCATCCAGCGGGTTCGCAAAGGCACCGCGCAACGCTTTCGCATGGCCTGGAAGGAGTTTGGAGCCCAAGGGGCTCGAGCCCATCCGGCGTAGTTTAAAGGTTTCCCCAAAAAGGATCCGCACGCCAGAGAATCACAAGTGGTACAAAATACTTTACAAGCTTACAAGCCCCATCACCCGAAAAAGACTTCGCTGGCATATGCATTGCTCCTTTGAGAGGCTCATGTGTTGTAGGTTGGCCTATGTCAGCCTATTTGGGCAAGCTGTGCCGCGTGCCACTAGATCCTACAGATTCTTCTAAGATTCTTTATTGCAAGCACCTATATAGTGATCTTTAAATACCACCAGGCTGGAAGATGATCCAAAAGAACTCGTTTGGTGACTCGTTTGGTGACTCGGTCCCACCCCATTTGAGATGTGCAGCACTTGGATACCACCAGGCTGGACCAGAGTAAGGCGGTGCACGCCCGACCACCGAACCTCTGTGTGGCGAATGTGATAGCTCTCCTGGCAACGCCGACCAACGACGGACAAGCCGTCGGCTCCGTCGGCCCGGACCAGCACCAGGACCACTACTTCTGTGGCTCCGAGCCGTTTAGATTGCTGGTGACGAATGTGTGTGTCCTCTTCTTGGGGAAATCCGTTCTTCATTTAAGGTCCAATTGCTTGAAGCGACGCCACACCTTTTTCAGGCTCTTCCGCCACACCTTGTTATTCTGCCCGTGATTGGCTCGACGTCACGTCCTATGCCTGGAGTACGTCCTTCGGAGTCAACCCATGCTCAACCCATCCACTTGCTCCTTGGGATTCTTTGGGTCGAAGACTGATTTGTCCTGAGCGCGAGCAAGCGATGCGGGCGATACTGATATGCCCAGCAGGTTCATTTTCTCAAAAAAGGAGGCAAGCTCCGCACTTCATGTTCCTCTCACGAAAGTTTAGATAAGGTGGGGCAAGCAAGTTGAGATCTAGCTCATTCGCACATTCGTGGTAACTCAAACAAAGACTTCAATTGAATCGGTGCTCACACCGAATTCCTGAGCAAGTCTGTGCATCCCCAGCTGCAGCATGAAGACCTAAAGAGTCTGGGTTTGTACTTGTTGATGTTGTGATCAGTTTTAAGTTTTAACCCATGGGTACTTCATTTACCTGGAAACACTATGAAAAACTATTGGTTGAAGTCCTTTATACCGAATGATCTGAACCATCCGAAAGAGCCTCTGGGAGTTTTGCCCCATGGTTCCTTGGCCATTTCGCTCCATGGTTCCAGGGGCTCTTAGGGGTGACTGAAACGACCCAGCGACCCAGCGCGCCACCAACGGTTAAACCGTCGAGCTATTAGTTGAAGAGTCGATGAAAGCAATTGACGACCTCAATCATTCGTTCGGACAGGTTTTTCATGGGATGATCATATCATGTCATGAAATATCTTGCCTTCATTAAAGGAAAATCAGTTGTATGTCAGTGCGGACTCTATCTGGAAACACACACCCCACCTTCAACTGATCGTAGGTGAAGCCATGCTCCTGCAGCGCGGCAGGTGGCAGCAAGGTCCCACAGGCTTCTGTCCTTCGTCATTGGAAGGTAGGCTGAACATTGTTAATTAGATGATCAACGCTCCCAGATTAGATGAAAAAACATGGACAAATACAGAGCAAATAGATGATCAACACCCATTCCTCAACCACCCCCCTGTTGAGGTCACGCATGCGCATTTTCCCAACATCTGCACTGTCTGCCTGGTCGGTCCGAACAAGAAAAAACGGACCGACCACCCCCTTTTTGGAACTGCTGCGTGTTTGTGGTCAACACAGCCCTGAAAGGCACCACAGCCATCCCACAGCCCAGCTTAGAAAAGAAGCTGAACGCCCTTCTGTTCGAGGCGACACCTCTCCGCTCCTCTCATCGCCCAACAGGAACGAGGAACCCACCGCCTCTCCGTTCGGGTGTCGAACTTCTCGTCCCCGACCTTGGAGACGGGATGCCGCTCATCCTTGAAGTAGCTGAAATAGCCCTGAGAACCACGGGCGCCGTCTCCGTCCGTGGAAGCCCACCGAGGAGGACCGGTGCTGGATCAACGAGGGGCCGCCAGTGTCATAGCGAAGACCTATATATTGGTTGGCCGGTTGGCCACCAGTTTGGTTGCAAGAGAAGGGAATGGTTTTGCAGTCTCAATCGATTCCAATGTGGGCAGGCCCCCTGGATCATGAAAGCATCTCATTGACTCTGATACCAGGCCACTTCTTTGCTTCATTTGTTTGCTGGGATTTTGCTGATAACATGTCCACATTGAGGATTAAGATTTGAAACTTTTCGGATTCAAAATGATTCAAAAACTTCTGAGTAGCAGCCCAGTTTTTGTTAAGCTTGTTCAGCACAGACTCAGACTGAGACTCTCCAGCGACGGTAACTGGGCAGCCGCACGTTTCGAATCTTCTGCAGGTCCGGCAATGAAGCACACCTTTTGGTGGCGTCCGCGTAGGTGAACTTGAGCTCAGTGTGAACCTGGATTCGTTCACCAAGTACCGCCCAAAGAGAAGACCAGCCGAATGAGCCAGGTGTTTGCTTCAGTGCTTTTGTGAATTCATGTGTGCCATGCTGTATAGAGTTCTCATCTCGACTTCGAAGTTCTTAGCTTCCACTTCAGTTTGGCCTGCCTGTTTACTAGAAATGGTCGGTTCGGGAAACAATATAGACAGTCAACACCACAAGTCAAACAAACATGATGTAAATCATGGAAACCAACATAAACACAACATGGCATGAAACGGATCCTCCATGGATTTTCCATGGATCCTCCATGGATCCTCTCCGATCAACTCACTCCGTGCACCTTGGTCTTGAAGGCCTCACACCTGATTTTCCCGTGGCCGGGGTTCCCCCTTCAAAGCGGAGGAACATGGACGAAGGGGGGCGACGAACACTGCGCGGCGGGAGGACCGCGTGTTTCGCGGTCGAAGCAGGTCTGGCACCTCCTCCGGTGAAGCTCGGTAGTACTGGAGAACTCATCTTGTTGAAAGGTGGCCAGGGAGTGGGGGGACCAGATGCGCCAGGCGGTTCTTTTTGGGGGGGGGCCCTGCAAAAGAAGGAGATACCGAGGCTTTGACGTCACCGATCGTCAGATCTTGTGGGTGTTTGGTGAATGAGGGAGACTGGAGAAACGTCCTTTCCAACGTTTCCACAGGGATCCTTTTTCCAACGAAGCTGCTTTGATCTCACAAAGCTGCCGAAGGAGTCTGCAACAAGTTACAAATTGATGATTGTTTCCAAAACTACTCGCCGCTTGCCAACGACCTGCAGCGTTCAAGTGTCCTATAGTCTCATGGTCTCATGGTCCCATAGTTGGCCTCGCGAACGCCCAAGGTACATCGTTTTGCCAAGTGGCTCATCTTTCGTCATGGGCGCCGGCACATTGGCATTTGGAATCCTCAGCTGTCGTGTCTTGAGATTCCATCGAACTTCTGCTGTGTCAAGGCAGGTCTCTTCAGCAAAATTCCTGAACTTGGCAAAAATTGCAAACCTGTGTCCAGGTGATTTCTCGCCTTCCCTGCCACACCCTACACCCTACAAGCACAATCAAGCACACAACAAACAAAACAAAAAACGGTTCCGAACCTCTGCCGCCCTTGGTGGCCAAGACGCTTCATGGCGCGTGGTTGACGCCGGTAGTTCGAAGATCCGTCGTGACGGAACCGTCGTGGCTTTTCTTCGAGCCACAGGGGCTGAAACGAACGCACCCGAGTTCTCCCACGACCTCCGGTGGACACATGGTGGACAGGATTGAATGCTGTTTGAGTACCCCCAAAAGCATAGAAATCATGAAGGAACCATCAATACTTACTCACCTTGCTATCTTGTTGACTTGGACTTCAGTTGGAAGGGTGTTTGCTCACAAGTGGATGAAGGCATCCCTTGTTCCCAGTGCTCACATCTCTTTGCGAGAAAGCACAAGCACGAGAAAGCACCGAATGGACCTGACAAAGATATGCACCCCATGGACACTGCAACCATCTGCTAAGCAGATTGAGTGCCCGGTTTTTTTTTGGTCGTTGTACAATGAGGAAGCTCATGGTGCCACCCAATGTTCCATGGCATACCCAGCTCCTCCGGCACCGCCTGTTCCTCGAAAAAGGCCAAAACCAAACCACTCAAACAGCTTCCAACCAAGAACTCGAGTGCCAAGATTGTTTCCTCCATCTACGAGGGATCAAAAAGGATCCAGTTCTGGGCAAAAATTGTAACTATGACGACATCTGACTTGGAAGGTGTCTTTCCATCTACATCGAATCAACGCACCATTCCCCCCATCCCCTGCGGCTCTTTCTGGCTCCTCGCCGAGTCGACTCCGCTTGGCCCTGGCCGAGGCGGTGACCTCCTCCTCCTCCTCCTCCTCGTCGGCCTCGCTGGGCGTTGGCGGGCCCAAGCCATGGAGCCAGAGGAGCTCGTTGGCGTGGCGGCGCTTCGCCAGGACGCCTGGGAGGCAGCGACGAATGCCTTCAGTCAGCGAAGGTGGAGAGCTGGTGTGGTTGATGGGTATGATATATTGGTCATTCACGAGCTCCAACCATTATAACATGCGAAGCTCTAGCCCGATTACATGCCATTTATATCCATTTATAGTATCAGACCGGATGGTAGAATGCCGTTTGGAACATCTAAACGGCTAGTTCGGGACAGGGAGAAACCAAAAAGTGACCGTAATGTTTGTTTGTCCCAATGTCATAGTTTCAATGCCAGGGTGTGAGGCAACGTGTTTAATCATTATGACTTTCCACATTTGGCTCAGATGGAATGCCGCTAGAATGGACAGACATGAAATGCCCAGTGTTCAATTCACCATGTCGTGCAATTCCCTCATATCTAACACCCTCGACCACCAAAATCAAATCGATCCTCCCATCCTATCATCCCAATCTCATTCACGTGTCTTTACCTTCCTCTACCTCAAAACCCATGACCGTTGTTGCTCACTCCGCGACTCCGCGCCTTCCAGGAACTGCAAGGTTCCCACCTTGGGCACTCCGAGTGCCTGGCAGGCCTTGCCGGCCTTGCGCACCTGCGGCACCAGCTCGTCCAGCGGAAGGCCGACGGCGCAGCGGTTCAGGTCCAGGTGCTCCGTGGTGGTCGCGGTGTCGGTCACGTTGCTGGACTCCTGGAGGACTAGGAGAACGCCAGAGAGGATGATCCGAGATGCGACCTTGTTCCGTGGTTTTTCTGTGGTTTTTCCCCAAAGTGTCCCTTGAGATTTTGGGGTTGGGAGGTGTTTGGGACATTGACATCTGATGTGTGTATACATCTCTTGACTTCAGATATTTCTATGGAAGGAGGATCACGAAGATAAGCGATATGCTGTGGCAGAGCGGGTATACCCAGCGACTTTTCTCTGTCCTTTTGAAAGCGATACGGAATGTACAGTACAAGGGGACCAGGACGTGTTTTGTCTCAGCTCAACGATTTTCTATATGCCAGCTTGAGACAATGCAAAAGAATCTCTTTCTGTCAAACAAAACATTCGAGCGAACTACAATTCTGAGCTGTGAGCCGTCAACCCCCCGGTCACCAATTTCTGAGAACCATGCACGTGCTAACGCACTTCAAAAAGTAATTCAGGGGGCTCCAGCTTAATCTTCCCCTTCACTTACGTATCCTCCCCGCCCCAAACGCACCGCTGTCGACCTCCACGCACCGCGCGCAGCCGCAGCGGAAGCCCCAGCCGCTCAGCAGCAGCTCCTGGCGCCGCGGCCACGGTGCGAGGAGCTCCGCGGCGTCCAGGTACGAGCGCGTGACGCGCTGCCCGGTGCGGAGGTCCTGGAGGATGGAGCGGGAGCTGGGAAGGAAAGGGAAGGACGGAGCGAGAGCGGTCGAGTGAACTTGAAGAGTCGACTTGACGAGTCGATGTCTATTTTGCAGATGGGTTCAAACGCAAGGAGTGAATGCAAGATCTAGATACCTCTGGCAAGGTACCAAGAGGATCCAAGAAGTGTGGTGATTTCTGCAAATGACTTTGCTGCAGAATTCGGATGAGATGTGTGCCGTAACTCATCCACCAACAGAATGTGAAGTGTCGCATGGAACACCCACCATCCCGAACCAAACGGCTGTTTTTGGCGGCCGAATCTCCCATCTCAGCTCTAGAGTGCAGAGACCTAAACCTGGATTTGCTTGTTCGGAAAAGGAAGGACGATGATAGGCATCCCTCAGAAGGGGATTCCCCCATAGGGAGAGTAAACATCACCTTAAGCAAGACCAAGTAAACCTGACTCCGCCGTGTTTTGGGCCAACCCCACCAGCCTCCATAGCCACCAGCTTCACTTGTCGGCACTCGGCATCCCACTCGGTGCGCGCGTTCGGGCGGCAGCTGTGCTCGACCATGGCCAAGGCACCACAGAGGCCGAAGAGGAAACGTACCTAACAAGTGGATCATCATGGGTCAGCTTGGGTGAGGTTGAAAGGCCTCAAGTGGCTTGTGGTTGATGATGGTTGATTGCATTTTCTATGTTTTTCTGAGTGGGAAGTGGAAGTGGAAAATAAGATTTGGGAATGTGGGTGGCGAGAGGACACTTGAAAATGCTGAGCGGCCTGGTGAACAAAGCATGATTGCGATCCTGCAACCACGTTTATGAGGCCTGACTGCTTGGGATTGACATGGATTGACCAAGAAAATCCAAGAAGTATGTACTTCCATACCACCCATGCATGAGCACCAACACATCCCTCCCTTGGCCATCCTTGCATATAGAGAGAGGATTGAAGGTAACTCCGCCAGCCTCCAACCTCGAAGGTGACTCCGCCCAGGTCTCGGCATTGACGTCACAAAGGCCGCGCCAGCGGTCCAAAATCTCCTCATAACGAGACCAGGTCTGATACCCAGTCGATTTTGGGGGACCAATCTACCATAATCGACCTCATTGGTTTTGCACGACCAGGAGGGTATCCCCTCTATTGATCAACCAACCACTAGTTTGAGGCCAATTTATGGAACGAAGGGCGGGAGCAGAGGCGTGGAAAGGACCTTCAGGAACAACGACTTGCCAAGACTCAAAAAACTCTTCCAATGTGAACGATGAGATAAGACGTTGGGCGTCCCTTCAGGCCCCTTTCCGCAACGGGTCCTGGACCGTCCTGGCAGGTGCCACCGCAAAGAAGCAAAAATGAACAGAAGTTGGAAAAATAATAAACAAACGGACAAGAAGCAGAAAGACCAAAGAAGAAGCCGGAAGAAGAAGAAGGCAGAACGGCAGAACAAGAAGAAGCAGGATGAGCAAGCAAGAAGAAGAAAGGAGCAGGAAGAAGAAGAAGAAGAAGAAGAAGAAATAGAAGAAAGGACGAAACATGAAGAAGAAAGAGGGCAAAGAAAAGAAGAAAGCCAGATGAACAAGGTCCCTCTGGTTTACTCAAGATCTTCCTAACAAAAGACACCTTTTCTTCTACTGAGCTGCCTGCACTGGCAATGGAGGCTTGTGATATTTGTCGTAGTCACTGCATCATCTGCATCAAAAACAGCAATCAGCGAATCAGCAAATCCATCCATTCAAGTCATCCAAGCACCTCGCCCCTGTTCCCCCCGTCTCCTCCACCGTTCCCCGCTCTTCCAACGCTGCCCGCAGCTCCGCGCTCAGCGCCGCCGGCCGAAGCGCCGCCTCGCCGGACGCAGAACGCTCCGCGGGCGAAGCCTCCAGGGCCTGGGCCACGGCGCGCGCCTCGGCGGCGGCGGGAGACGTGGAGGTCTCCAGCAATAAGCAGGCGGCCAGGAGGTCCTGAACAGCAAGACAGCGGATGGTCCCCCTTCACTCGACGTGATCGAAGCCAAGGTCCCAAAACCTCCCAGTGGCGGCTCCACTTCCATCCGCTATCAGAACTCATCCTGGGCCCACTCCTGGGCCCATTGCCTGGCCCGCTTTCCTCTCGTCCTCTCTGCACTCCTTGCGTCGTCCTCGTCCTCCAGTCCTCGCTGGCGTCCACCGCCATGCCCGAGAGCACGTCCTCCGAGACCACCTCGCCCAGGCGCTCGCCGTCGGAGGAGCCCAGGGCGAGCGGCGCTTCGACGGCCAGGAGATCACCTTCGCGGACGTGAGGACGAGGAGCGGTCGACCGGCGGGTTCGCGACGCGATGCCTTTTTTTTCGAGCCAAAGATCCCAAAAAGGAACACCAAAAAGCCCCACTTGGCCCACTTGGATGGGAGATGATGGGACAAAATTTTGAAGTAATACGATGTAATACGACTTGCAATGGCATCGACATACCTCTGAATTCGTGTGGCATACTGCTTACGGTAGATGTTAAATGAGGTGATTGACGACTCCGGACAGAGAGGCGCTTTGCTTCTCGGAAGAAGGGTCAGCAAAAAGGGAATTGCTTCAGAACGTTCCCGAAACCGCGGGCCTCACCCCACCCCCCGGAAAAAAAGACAGTCGCCCCTAGTACTTGAGGCCACCCCAGAGAAGCACCAAGACAGACAGTTTCCCGACATCGCCTGTGGCCCTCGGGTGAAGGGCGCGAAGACATCGGCCGCAGTCCGAAACCTCACAGATCTCTAAACATCCGGCGCTCGCTGTTTGCAGCCTCGACCGCAGGGCGGCCTCCGCTGCGGGGCATGGCATCGAAGAACAATCCGAAGAACGTGAGAAGAAAGCGCGTTCAGGAGGAGCGAATCTTCGTGGGGCCCGGCTGGTTGGGCGGTGGAATGTTTCGTGTTGGTAGAACTGTTGGTTGAAGATGGTTGAAGGATGTTGAAGGAGAATGCTTGTGGAGCTGGGATGACCTTCAAGTTCACCGAATTGCTCTAGTTAGTTGCAAGAGTTGTGCTTTCTCTAAGCAAAAGACCCATCTAGTCTGAGTTGTGTGTGTGGCTTGCTGTTGGCCTTGTCGTGCCTTTCCTTGCCAAGTCCTCGGTCAGACTCTTTGCGCCCCCTTGAAGGTTGCTGTGGTGCATGACTCCTGCCAGCATTATATGATTCAAATGTTGAGGCTCATGTTTAACAGCTGAAAGTAGTCAAGGCATGTCAAGGCGGAAAGGGGCTCATCTCAGCATCGCACTCCACCTGACTAACCAGAACCATCTGGAAGAGGGAGCATGCAGCTTAATGCCTTATTAACATCGACGAAAGAGTTCGTAGTCTTCCACGCTGCCTTTTCAACTGTCATGCTGACTGGTTATCTGACCGAGAACCACCCATAGGAACCACCTGAGTGGCCGTGTCAAGTTCACACCCGCTTCGGAGCTCACCTCGCTCCCTCGCTTCTGTGCTTCCTCGTTTGTTCCTTCCGCGGACCCCATCAGACCAGAGGTCCACGCTCACCTCGATCCCGGTTGACTCCTCCTCCAAGGCCCGAGCTTCCAGTGGACGAAGATGTCACGATCAACCTCAGTCGGCCCGACTGAGGGCCGCGAGGAGGTGGGACGTCGTGGGGAGGGACGGGGTGTGCCAGACTGTCTGGGGCAGGTACCACCGTTTTTGTTCGCGTGTTTTTGTTGGTTCTTCCGATGGTTGATGGCGTCTGGTGCTGAAAAGTACGTCCTCAGCCTCCAATCTCAGGGGGGTGTTGCTTGAGAAAACATGGAGAAAACGGATTGACATGACTGTCCTCTCCCTACGCAGTTGGTTTCAACCCACCTGGGTGAGGCCAGGTCCTATATACTAGACATGCTGAGGCAACACTTAAGTTCCCTTGACATCTTCGATCACCGTTCGAAAACAAGATGTTGGTTGTGAAGTGTGTGTGTGTGTGTGTGATCATGTGTGATCTAGACTCTGTTCTTCAGACGAGCACCAAGCAAACCATACCGACCGTTCGTTCAGCGGGGCAATTGTTGCTGTATCTGACCTGAGTCAACTGTAGATCTTCTTCTCCGCAGGGCATGGGATCGTGCAAATGATATTGCAAGCTCTGGTACGCTACTGTTGATGGAAAAATTAATATATATATATATGAAAATATCATGCACCGCTAGGAATGAACCATCTCCGCATGAAACACCTTCCATTAGCTGACGTCAAACGGTCACACTACATTGTCTCACCATGTCTCACCAAACATCGGGTCATAGTCATTACTTCGCTCCCCCCAAGCTTCCTCCAGTCCTTCAGTAGCCTTCCAGGAACTTCATAGACCGATACCACCACGGGAAGAACTTTGAAAGAACCACCAACACAAAATCAGTTGATGAACTGATGCAGTGCCTCTTCGGATGAACTGTCAAAGAACTTTGAAAATAACTCTTTCGCTCACTCCGTGCCTCTTTGCAGTTGATGAAGCCCCACCCGCTGTCGCGCGAGTAGGTCTTAATCCACCTGCGATTGCCGCGCTAAGCAGGGTCCTTTGGAGGCCCAGAGGGCCCAGGGCCTAGTCTGTTGAGGATAATAGAACCACCCTAAGAGGGCCCCAACAAAGGGGTAGTTGGTAGATGTTAGTAGGGCTTTTTGATTTGCGGCACCCTTCTTGTTTGTGTTGTCATAGGGATTGCTGCAGGATAGCTGGAACAATGACAAGGTATAGCAAGTGAGATTCTGAAAATGATGAAGACTTCTTCGGCCCCAAGCTCTAAGCATCCCAAGCCAGCAAGTTCCTTGCCAGCCGTTTTTGCACAACCATCTCAACTGGAGGCCTGGAGGCTCCTGTTGTTCCAATCACCGACCCATGGTTCAGTCCCGAATGTCTTCTAAAAAGGCAACCAGTTCTCCGGATGTGTCAGACCACCCCCAGACGCAACCACCGAGTCCACCGGCCGAGTCGTCAGAGCGACTTAGCCGAGCGACAAAAAGCTGCGCCCAAATGACTTCAGAGAAAAAGAATCACTGTTCTACATTCTGCGCTACTAGCTCTACTGGCTCTACTGGGTGCCCATCCTTCTTCCTCACGAGGAACCCTCCTCCCGGGATCCCCCACCCTCGCGCGCGCCGCCCGGGCATCGCCCATCCGAGGGTTCCGGTCGTGTTCGCCGGACTCGGACCGCGTGGGGGGGGTTGGGGGCGGCGATGGCGGAGAGAAGAGGTTGGGGGACAGGAGATGAGGTCATGATGTCATGATCTTCTTGGGATAGCGGATAGCATGATCTGATAGTCATGATGTCATCGAGATCGTGTCATGATCTGATCGTGGTCTAGGGACATATCTTCTTGATTGGGCCTTCATCTATGCCCAAATCCAGACATGTTACGGTGCATTTAGACAAAAATACCTTGCCAAAACTGTACCATGAAACTGCATTCAGATGGGGAGCTCTGCGACATCTTTTGGATCTGCAAAAATCACAAGCTGGTCGCTCGACTCATGGGTCGCGCCACGCTATGCTGATCTTCCAGTCGAAATGGGATCTTGCTGATTGTGGGTTTGTCGGTCCAGGGGCCAGATGTGTCCTTGGAGATTGTCACGCTGTCAGGTGACCTCTCGCTGTCAGGTCCTACGAAACGTCAGATGCTTATCCTTATCCATCTGACCGTGCTTTTCAACTGACTGCTGCCTGTTCTGATGAGACTGGCTTCGCTTCATTCTCTTGAACCCAAAGACTGGATTTTCTCGGGACTTTTGGGCTGCATTTTCTGCGGCATGATTAGAACAGAAACGGTTTAACCATCGATGTTCCTTGGCAATGGAATGCAATGGAGACATTCTCAAGGCCTGTCATTTCTTAGCTCCAAAGTCTGGTCCATGTCAATGTCTGCAAATGACTCCATATCAATGCATCCTCATGGAAGATGACCCATATCATATCATCGTTTCCTATCCAAGGCTGAGTTGTGTGGGGGACTGTTCTCTTCCGGCTCAGCAAGGAATTTTGGCTTGACGAAGAGAATATGTGGTCGTAGGTCCGCTGTATCCTCCTACACTCCTCATGCACCCTGCAGTTCGGATCATCGTGCAGGACAAAAACTAATCTCCATGTCAGACTGGTGCAAACCAGGCTCCAAGGATACGGCAAACAACTGGATCCTCAAACTTCAAACCCATTTATATAGACCCCCAAAATGGACTCCAAAACAAGATCCTCAGATCCTGAGATCCATCCACGCGCTCGACTCCCCGCTCTCGTCGCGAGTCCCGGATCTCTCTTTCACCCGCTCGTCGCGATGCTTTTGGCAGCCTTGGAGGGTGAAGAAGTCTTTGGGGACTTGTGGGGGATGCAAAGCAAGAAAGAACTAGAGGGCGAATTGAGGAGTTCAAAGCTAAGAATCACAAGAGAGAACCCTTCAAAGACATGCATCTGGCGGTGCCTTTTGGTGGCAGGATGCAGTGACCACCTGAAGGTTCCAACGAGATCTTGCCGCTTGCCAAGGCTATCTCTTAAGGCTATCTTGCTATCTCTTTCGACGATGGCTCGCCTCTGTGTGTCTTTCTCACGTGGCTCGCCTGCGTGGTGGCCGATCCCGGAAACAGGATCTGCCGGGAGAAGTCCTCGCGGGTGGAGGCCGCAAGGCCGAAGAGGCCCCCGTTCGGTTCGCGATGCCCGAAATGCTTGCTCCGTTCGTAGTGGTATCCTTTTGGTCATGGACAGGAAAAGGTCCATTCTCTCCACTTGGATCATCTCGAATCATAAATCGCTTCTCTGCCCCACCCCAAGTATGAAGGTCATGGGTTGCACTCATAAACCAGTTTGGGAGGACACCATGTCATCAAAATGTACATACATGTAATTACATGTATACATGTATATACTCTTTTGTCTTATCGAGCGGCTCTATATTCAGTGTTGGCGCTCCGGTCTGGAGTATAAAGATTATAAAGAACTGTCTTCTACCAGGAAATCCAAAGGGGTGGTCTTTTTCCCTATGCGCACCTCCTGCATCCTCATGGCACCTCTATCCTCCAATTGGCATCCATTTGGAACGGGATTTGTGCCAAGACTTGGAGCTTGGACTTGGGAATCTCCTTTGGACCATGCCGCAAACAAATAGGTTGACACCGAATGAAATCTTTCTGGCCAACAGGAGGTTTCTGAGATAGGCCATCCCGACTGTCAGACCTCGTCTCATGCAGCTGACTCTTCCTTCCACAAAGAACCTGACCTCTATGTTGGACCACCAACCACCCATTTCCTCTCCAAACAGAGTTCATGTCTGGGCTCATGTCTACAAATATCTGAAGACAGGTGACCCCCAACCTCCACTGTCCGGCCGGTCTCGGACCCGGTTCACCCCGGCCTCCGTCCACTGCCGACCAAAGATCTTCTGAAAGAGAATCAACGCCTGGCGTCGAGAACAGCGGGCGACGTGCGGGCGAGAGCTGGGGTGGGTGGGGGTCCGTGGGGGTCTGTGGAGGTCCTTGGGGCGGGTCTGGTGGCATCACAAGCGAGGCAAATCCGCTCCTGGTCTGGTTGCCAAGTGGTCCAGGATGCTTTGCATCGAGGCAATTCTGTTGCTCTCGCATCCAGCAACCCTGGCTTAAAGTTGAGCCGCTTGAGCCTCTGGGCCTGATGTCTTTCCAAGGGGTGCTTTCAAGGCGAAGGTCACGTACGTTTAAGATCCTGGTGTTTCTCCTTTAACCTGTTCCTCCGACTTGGGCAAGGTTGAACACCTTGTTTATGAAAACAGCGTCGTCTACAGCACCTCTTTCAAGTGACCAAGTATTCCATGAATTACCCGGCCAAAACATGCCAAAAGCAAATCCCACCCCATTCGCGCCGGATCGCGCTCCGCATGCCAAATGTCGTAGGCCGTCTGTCGCTCCTGGGAGTGGTTGATCCAGTCTGTTGGCTGAGACATCCCGTCTGACATTCTGCTCCTTGGCTCCTGTTGATACCATGCTCTCCCTGGCTCTGGACATTATCATATATGTCTATAATACATAGATTATCATAGATTCAGATCCGTGGCATCCTCTCAGGCGGCCTAACCACTGGTGGGAACCACGCATGGGCGACAGGGAAAAGAAAAATGCCGCTTGCGGCCAAAGCAACACTGTTGCTCTGTAACAGGGGCTCAGCAGAGGTTTCTGAGTCTCCTCTTGCGTGCACGTGAACATGTCTTAGACGGAATTTCTCGGCACATCCAGATCCGTTTCTTCTAACAAGAATTCCCAGCTCATCTGGCGACTCCCCAGCGACTCCCCAGCGACTCCCCAGCGACTCCCCAGCTCATCTGGCGCTCCTCCGCCTGGATCCGCCGCAGCTCTGGATCCAGCGGGGTCTCGTGCTCAAGCATCTGCAGGTACCTCCCCCGACCTCCTCAGGTCGTTCGTAAACCGCATTGACGCCCCGGATTTGTGGGGAGGTCCGGATGCGTGGGGGGTGTGGGGTGGGGAGAGGCCGAGCATGGATGCTACAGTAGAAGTGGACATACACTACTACTACTTACAGTATCTATATAGAATGTTTCTCTGGAATTGGCCACACAAATCTCATGAAAGATCATGAAAGATCCTGTCTCCTTTTCACTTACTTTTGGGCCCCGAGGGTGGGGCCATGTGGCATGAGAGTATCGTTCTCAGGGTGAAGAAGAAAACCTGGAGGAAACCGCAACGCGGAGCAAAGACTGTTTGTGCGACGCCCGTCCAATCTGGAAACGGCTTTGACTCGAAGCCACTACTGTAGGGGGCTGTCGTTCCTGTCGCATGGGTTTCATTCAGGTGGTATAGAAGATCTCGATGGATCTCTCATGATTTCTCCCCGACGATCCTGGATCGATGTCGAACAGCCATGAACCGAATGAAAGCACCGCTGCAGACCTCTTTGGCCTGTTCGCAACTGGCTGGCGTCAGGCAATCCTACTCCTAGGTGTTACAGATCCCTCCACAAATGGGAGGGACCCACGTGAGACAAGTTGGCCGCCCGGGCAGCCGGTTTCGGAGTCTTTTTTGGTGCCTGGGGGGCAAGTCGAAAAATTCCCTCGCCTCGTCCAGGTTGAAAAGTTTGGCACTTCTGCCCCAACGAAAAAAACAACGCAGAAAACATCGCCAAACCTGCACTTCCATGTATTCGTTTGGCGTTTGTTTTGCTGCAAAGGTTTGTTCTGTCGATGCATGAAGTGCCCAGTCATGCACCAGGATTAACATGCAGCTTGAAACTGGAAATGTCCAAAAATTGCTCCACCAAACAAGCTGAATGTCCGATATAATTGAAATAATGTCTCCCAGTCAAATCATGCAATCACGCTCCGTTCAAAACCTCCTGAGGTTTGAGGCTTTTTTGACTCATGAACGCAGTAATAACTCAACCGGTCGTCTAATGCTCCAAGCCCGCTTTTAAAGCGGTCTTTAGGTGATCTGAAAAGGAATTTCCTTTACTTGGGTGGTGCCAAAAACAGTCTTTGGACTTCTAGGGACCAGTCTTTTGACACCTGCAACTCCCAGATTCAAACGTCCGTCTAACTTGATCTTGCTCATGATGATAGTCACATGACCCCACCAACCTGCCCCACACAACTTCCAGACTGCCATTTCACCCCGAACAAACAGAACAAAACAAAACGAGCAACCTTTACAAACAAACTGTTCATCAACGTCAACCTACATTCCAATGTTCAGAGCACTTTTGCCAGTGGAACGGCTGGTGCCGGGACATCTCCAACTCCCTTACTCTGTGGCCTCTGCACCGTCTGACTCTTCTGCCTCTTGTGGGTCGGCAGGCTCGAGGTCAGGTACCGGCGGCAGAACCTCAGCGTGTCGGCCCGGATGTGTCGCACGACGATCCCAGAGACCCGAGCTCGCTGAACCTCATCGATCGTGGGACGTAGACGACAAACAACTGTCTTAGCTTATTTAATCATATTTAATCTACACGAACGAAGCGATAACCTGGTGGCCTTGGTACCCTTGGTGGCTGTAACCTGTCGTGGCCCCGTCTTGATCTTCTCATTGCGTCGGCTGCGGCTGCCGCCACAAATGCTATTGTCCTACAGGCCACTGTGGCTTGTCATGTGCGTTGCCAGGGCGGCTTCCCGGTGATGTTGTCGTTGCCACGTGTCATGCTTGTCAGCGTAAAGCCATTGCTGTTGCGTTATTTATGTGGCTTGTCATTGGCGTTCGCTTTCTTGTTGCGCTATGTTGCGCTCCTCTTGGCATAGACGAACACACATGTGTTTTCCCGTTGACCAAAAGATCTGCTTGGATGACCCACAAAAGATCTGCTGAGGTGCCGCACATGGTCTTTCTCCTCGTCTCCTTCATTGGGGTTGCTCTCCTGCGGAGTGTCGCCTTGCCTGTCAGCAGAGGCAGTCATTGAAGACTTGAGTTCGCAGCAAGACTTGTGTCGCCTAAACCAGAAACCTCTTCAAATGTTGGCAAAAACTAAACCTCTCAAACACCGCTCAAACATCTTGAGACTTCAAAGTTGGTGTGTCATTTCGTCCACTAGTCCTTTCTCTCACAGCTACATGCACAAAGTGAACTGAATCCTTCCCCAGATTTAAACTTGATTGTGTTCCAACTAAATCTAGCTCTTCCTTCCAAAACCGGGAATTTCCTCAACCTTCTCGTCCCCCGAAACCCGGCTCGGGCTCAGCCGGGCTGAGAGCCATCACCGAACGTCCCGCACTCACCCGGTGTGGGTTGCTGTCCGAGCTCCCGAACTCGGCCGCCAGTTGCGCGGCAAAGGAGGCCATTGCCTAGCTCCGGCGCAGGACCGGGACCGCGGAGCGGTGCGGTGGGTGCCCGAGTGACCGGGGGTACGCTTCAGCATGTAGCTCCATGTGGGGAGCTCGGCCTTTCGAATCCGTGAGAAACTATGGAACTTGACCAAAATCCTAGCCCCAAGAGCTTGAGAGGTCACTTCCACGCTTCATCGTTCAGTGGGTTTCTCAATCAAAAACATCAGCTCAGAATCCAACCCATCCAAGAGGACATGAAACATATAAATCATTATACATCGAGCTCCATCTTCCCCCTCGCCATTGATCGAACTTCCCGGTCTTTCGGGACGTCGATCCGCACCGATCACCCCCAGGGAGGAATCTGCACCGCCGCACCTCCTCTGCGGTTTCGGCCACCAGATGGTCGCTGTGACGACGAATGGCCACACGGCGCAGCGACATCGCCTGCGCCGACGCGGGACGACTCGGACGTGACGGTCGGTTGGTTGGAGGGACACCTGGAGGTCTGCAAGGGTATAGCGGTTGAGTCTACAAGACCCGTGCTCAAACGAATAGAAGTCTACAAGTTCCTGACATCCTGGGCAGTTGGAGACCCCAATGACTACCTTAAACCACCTCCACTGGTGCTGTAGGATGTCCCTAGAAAGGTCATGGATGCTGATCAAAAGGACATCCATGGTGACTCGGGTGCTTCTCCCGGGACAAAAAGCAACTCAGGGTTGAACAGAAACTCGCCAGTGTTGAAGTGGGACAGCTTGAGAAAATGTATTGGAACAAATAAAAACAACACAACACAAGACAAACACAAGACAAAAAAAATGAAAACCGGCAAGCAACACACAACCAACAAGCAAACGGATCAGGTGCAACCGGTTGCAACCCATCGGGCCAAAACACGTAAAGGATCGTTAAAGCATCTTTGACCTGCCAAAAAGCGAACGAGCAAGGACGCTACGAACGGGGCTCCTGGCATCGCTACGAACGGAGCGATCGGACGCTAAGCTAACGATCCCCACCGACGTGCGCGTTCCTGCGCGCCTTCGCCTTGGGCGACAGCACGGGCGAGCGGAAGCGCTTCATGGCCACGGCGGCGGTGCCGGCAGTGGCGACCTGGGTTGGTGGAACGGTGGGAGCAGAGAGGGGCGGTGTTCTTGGGTTCTGTAGAGCTTTTGCAGATTTGGGGTATGTTTGATGGTGTATCTTCCACTGAGGTTGGTGTGGGAATTCTTCATGACTGCTTCCAGTAAAGAGGTTGGTGCTTGACTGCGCCTTACGCAAGTATACTTTGCCAAGGAGCCCGAGCAACAAAACAGGAACCAAGGCGCCCCCCCATTACCCACAGCTGCGACAGGAAGATCCTGCTGGCAGGTTCCTGCGATCCTCCCTTCTTTAGCCATTAGTTTGAGGTGATTCATACATCTATACCATTCTATGCCTGGAGTCGCCGCCCCAACCCCCTTCGGATCTGGGTAGAGATCCATGTACAACGAGACTTACAACGAGGTTTGATGTCTCAAAGCCTGAATCTTCAAGAGTGCAGGAGCGATCCTCTCTTCAAAGCGCTTGGTGGGGGGTCTGAATGCATCTTGGGATCAAGAATTGAGATCTCCATGGGAGGACTCGCCAACCACTATTCAAAGATGTTCCATTATTCATAGTATTTCATATTCAACTCCCTTTGCAGGACTTTCAGGAGTGACTAGATGCTTGCTTAAGTGGGTGACCATCGATAATAATACAGTGATGAAAAGAATAGCCTCAATCGTTTGACATGGTTGAAACTGGATGAACCAAGAGGGGTTTTCGTCTCCGTCCCGTCTCAAACCAGCAACTCATCCAGAAGTGGCTTCATCCACTCAGTGGACCTCCACCGTTTTGTGCCAATTTTGCTTTCATTCAGGAACTCTCTCCCTCCGTCTCCCTCCACTCAGACTCGTGCTGTGACCTCGGACTGCGTGACCTGAAGGCGTTCGGCGCCGGCGCGGCTTGGGCGTTTGGCTTTCTCACGGCGAAAAGGACGCGCTCCGCTGCTCATGTGCCCCAAAACCTTGGGTTGGAACTGATGCTTGAGTCTGCTTGAGAATGGAAAGGACCTGGGAAGATTGGAAGGGATTTTCAGGAAAATATGGATATGATATATATATATATATGTGTGTGTTGTGATATGTTGTAGCTGCTGTTGCTCTCAACTTGGCGTCCATCCCTGTCTGGTGTTTTCTGGAGTGCTGTGGGTCTGTAGCTGCTCTGCTCCTAGGCCAAGCTCATGTCAAGCACGCCTGAACCTTTGTTTTCCCTCATCCATTCTTGCTTGTGCAACGTTGTGAGGCGGTGTTCTGAGTTGCGGTGACTGGGTTTCCATTTTGCAGCTCCTGTTGACACTCAGGTTGCGACCATATGTGACCACCAGAGTGTGATGTGTCGGCGAACTTCACTGGCCATTCGCCTTCGCTAAACATTCGCCTTCTTCCGACCCAAATTGGCCGGCACCTTTTGCCTGCAGATTTGGGCCATGCGAAAGAGCCAGCTAGCTGTCATGACAGGCGATCCGATCACGATCTCCTGTTTTCGGTGTGTTTTCGGGCCCACACTCGTCACTACCGAATTCTGCATAGGCATCCCATTGGTTTCTCTTTCCCCTTGCACAACTAGCATAGAACCATACATACACACCTGAAAACCAACATGGACCCTGACAATGGACCCCTGGTAGATTGTTTTCCTCTACCAACGAATGCTTTTTGGAGAACCCCGTGTTAACCTGCAGGGGAGTAAGACCACTATATATAGACCACTTGACCGACCAACACACAGACCAAATACCGGCCAATGTTCAACCACACCGGTGGACATCGTGCTCATGGCCGGCCCCACGTCGCCTTGATTCTCAAGCCACTCGCATCAGGCGAATCCTCCCGGGGCGCTACCGGCGCCGGTGGATGGACTTCGACTGTGCCCAACCAGGAAGGAATGGTCGCAAACAGTCCGGAGCTGAAATCACTTCGCTCAAATCCTCATGCAGCGTCTATGCTTCACAGCGTCAAATTCCTCCTCAAAACGGTGGGATGTGATCAGGCCCCCCAAAAAAATCCGCCCGCACCGGAGGTGCCGAGGGCGTTGTGTAGGCTCGTGTAAACCTCGCCAGGATCCTGCTAGATAGTCCTGTTAGATAAATCCTAGCTTTAGCTTGGGGGGGGTGCATTTTTTTCCTAGAAATGCTGTGCTTTTCCAATGCTTTTGAAAAAGTGATTAAAATTGGACCAAATGTTGGCTATGCCGGCTATGCCGGTTGGGCCAGGTCGCATAATTGACATCACAGATGTATCGGGGAGCCAAGGGGTGCACTGCACTATGGATATGCGATGCCGGTTATGTCGGCCGGGGGGAGACTGCATTACGGACATTGCAGAAATCGCAAAGGTCGAGGCAAGCCGTGGGATACTGTACGATTGATATCGTGGATGTGTTCGGTGAACATCGCGGAAGTCGCAAACATCTAGGCAAGCCGCGGGATACTGTACGATTGATATCGTGGATGTGTTCGGTCGTGTGCCCAGTCCGACTGGATGAGGTGAATGGTATTGAGCATGTGGTTTTTGATGTTTTTTGGGGGGAACAATCGCATGTGGTTTTTGACACAGAGACAGAGATAGAGACAGACAGAGACAGACCCAGACAGACAGAGACAGACAGAGACAGACCAGACCCAGACAGACCCAGACAGATCTAGACCCAGACAGACACAGAGAGACAGACAGACACAGAGAGACCGACAGACACAGAGAGACAGACCAGCCAGCCAGCCAGCCAGCCAGCCACCCAGCCAGCCAGCCAGGCAGGCAGCCAGCCAGCCAGCCAGCCACCCAGCCAGGCAGGCAGGCAGGCAGACAGACCAGACAGACAGACACCCAGACCGACCGAGACAGACTATTGACATCGTGCGTGTGTTCTTCCGTGTGTCCTGCCCGAACAAGACAGGCAGACAGACCAAGACAAACAGACGCACACACTCCCAAACAGACGCACACACTCCGTGCGGGCGGCTTCGTGCACGAAGTGCTGTGAATATATATATATATATATCACAAAGCGGGATAAATCGGGTACTACTGGGTACCACCGAAACTCATGGAACTTGACTCATGGAATTGGATCGGTCCATCAATAATTGTATTGAAAAGTAAGTCGGGCGTTTTCCCTCCATGTGTTTTCTCTCCGGCCACTCCGTGAGGAGAGGCTTCTCATGCAGTCAGCTATACACCCTTTTCGATAGCTCCCATTAGGTCCCACGTCTCGATGGCATCTCCGTGTGGGTCGAAAGGGTGCACGTTCGGTCCCAAGTCTCCCAGAAGAAAAGAAGTCATGACAAGCTAATTAGAAGATACTAGAAGACACCCTGGAATCCAATGATTGTCATATGTAAGTCATACCCTGGAATCCGGTTCGCTGGATATCCTTGGATTCTCATCGCATGAGCGGTGTCACACGACACATCTGGTGGCATACTGTCAGAGCGACCCAGACGATGCCGTCGACCGATCTGGGTCGACCCCTCTCCTCATCCGAAAGGAGCGCCTCCTCCTGACCCAGGATGCGCCACGGGATGCGCCGCGGAGGCAGGAGGAGCACTTCGCGCCGCGGAAGCAACTTTGGGGGGGTGCAAAAGCGTGAGGTGCAAGGGAAAGCGGCGCCACCCTCCAACGGCCAACGGATTGGGAGACGAAAACCCGCGAAGCAGGAGGCATGCCCGGCTTTTGGGGTCCAAACAAAATACCCTTTCACCATGGCATCAGGTCGCCCTCCGAGTTCATGCAGCAGCGCCTTGCAGAAGCCTAATTATGAGTCAAGTGTAAGGAAGGAGTTGTAGTTCCTCTGCTCGCCCATCAATTGATACTGCTTGGTAGAGAAGCCCATCTTTCCTTCGCCAGCTGCATCTCTCCTCGTGACCTTTTGGAGCCCCTCTTTGTCGCCAGTTTCCAGGCTTGGGCAATATTTTTGCGCAGAGCGCTCCCTCCACAAGCATGAAGAGACCCAAACCAGTGGTCAGTCGGGGATCCGCTCGATCACCCATCCAACCAAAGTTGGTGACCCCAGCCCCAACTTGAAACCAACGGCCAACGACGATCCAGTTGAAGCACCAAATCACCTGCTTGGCCTCCTCAGATTCTTCAGCCCCCCTTTTCGACGCACGTCGCACGCCGCCCCGAACGACGCTCCTCCTGAGCTGCAGCCTCTGCACGAGCTCGGGCTTCCTCCCGCCACACCGCCACCGCGCTCGTGCGGGACACGAACTCGTTCGCGGTGGCCGAGCGGACCCGGTTGGGCGGGGAGGTTGCGCGGAAGGGACAGGGAGGGGGGCGCCAGGAGCGTGGTCCTAAAGGGGTCGGAGCAAAGCGTGGAGCTGTTCGTTTCGGGACGCGAAAGCGAGATGAAGGAGAGCCTCT